GCTGAACTTAAATATATTTTTGAAAACAACGATACAGCGTCAAGCATTGACTGAAATCAATTTTGAACTGGCTGCAAACAGCGCTAAATTGCGGTTAAGAACAGCGAAATGGTAAGAAATTTTGCTCTACAACCCTTGGTTGTATATCAATAGAAAATGGCTACGGTTGGCAAAGAGAAATCGGCAGCATTTTCACTATTGAAACCACGGTCGGCGATGGTTGTAAACCGAGAAGAACCGTGGTTTTGACCTGCTAAATAACTTCAATTCACAGCCTGTTACACCGATTTGAAAAGGTTATAAACCGCGTTTTCGGCGGTTAACGACTGATTTTTTTACGAGGTACCGAACCGCGCTTACGAACGGTTATGAGTCACATAGAACCGCGGTTGAAACCGTCTATTCGATTCAAAACACAAACCGTCTCATGCGCGTTTTATGACGGTTTGAAGTGGTTTTTTTATCGCAAATCTGAGGTTTATGGCGGTTTTTTGGCTGACATAGCAGCCGTTTTTTAGCCGGTTCTTTTAATGTTTTTTCGTGTAAGGGTACCACTTATTTCTTATATAAATCGAAAACCTTTACCAAGGCATCTTAGCAGAATATTTTATGATTGTGCTCGGTTATGTATTATTTCCGTCGACTATTAAAATATAGAGAAAGTTTCCAAAAAGTTGTTCATAATAATATTTAATCGAAAAGAGTTACAGTATCTTTGAATAAAACATTATTTACAATATCCTTTCAAACATTTATGCGTGATAAGAGTTTCTCACCTTTTTAACAGAAAAAATCAATCGAAATTAAATATGAAACATAAACAGTTAAACATAAGCAAGGAAGAAGAACATAAAATGACCCTTTTCACTACAAACACACAACCGGTTCTTAGCTTGTTTGATCCAACTGGCGCTTTAAAATAAAGAGATATTTAAAAAAGTGAACATAAAGTTGCTAGAGAAAAATTAAAATAAGAATTAATGTTCGAAACGAAACAATTTAAAAAGATTCAGTGTCAAGTCTAAACAAGGCACTAGTCAGCAATATTGTATTGTTTTATTATATTATTATTATCTGAAGTTTCATTGTCTTGCATATGATTCAAGTCGTTGGGCACTGAGAGAAGTAGCTGAAGAAGTTATATTGACTGGCCACTCGGTTTGGAAGTTATTTTATTAGCTTCAAGCGTACCTTCTTTCTCTGTTTTAGCCTTATCCGTATCAAGAATTAGTATTCGATTATACTTACGTTGAATTTCAAGGAAAAGTCTCATAAAAAGTGGAACAAACAGAAGTTTAATAACCAAAAATATCAGCCCAAATATTTCAAGACATACGATTGTAAACAACAAATTATGAAAGACAATCTCAGTCTGCTTGGCAATCGGACTCTGAGTATTTTGAATGTAAAACTGAGTTTCACCAACAGTTATTAATAAAGTTGTTCGTGTCGAAAAATATCGTAAGTATTCACCTTGTTGACTATACAAAAGTTGATCTGATATTGTATTAACAGTAAATGTTGGTACCCATAATCCACTATATAAAGTCTTGTCACTTGCACTCAATCCATCTGTTTCATTTATCACTTTAGTTAGTTGTAAATCAATGCTAGACGAATGAGCTAATGTTTGGTTAGCTGTATAGAAAAACTGACAAAAATTCAATTGTTGAACTGTATAACTATCATTACTGGCCGATGGTCCTGACAGGCAAATTCTTACACCTCCAACGGAATAAGGACCAGTTAGATTAAATTGAACATTCATCTGATGAAAAGGTAAAACAACTGAAGCATGAAGTGTGGCATTATCCTGTATTCGATAATTAGAAATATTCAATAAAACAATATTAGAACCAATATTTTGTTGAACAGTAGTATCGGTATATCTGTATAAAGTATTAACAAAGTCAACGCTCATTGTAAACTCTTGTTGGTCAAGCATATTAAAAATGGGTTGTTGCTCATCTGACTTTGGGAGGGATAACAATTGTAAACCGGTACTGAATTTTGCATTACGTAGACTAGTATCACAAGCAAATATTGAATCCCCTGACGTTTCAATTGGATATTGTTGCAAATAAGAACTACTAAACCAGTATGCAAATGAAACTAAGACAATAATACCCAACGATATCACACCTCCAATCCAAAGTTCACCTTCACCTACAAGATCTAATTGTTTAAATATTTTTTTGATGAATATCCGGTGGTTTTTCTTGTCCGGAAACAGTTTTAATATAGCCATAACAACGAGAACAAGAATAGCGAAAAGGATTATAACAGATGTCCAAAACAGAGGACTTACAACAATACAATGACTAGTACTACCAATGGTAAACATATTTTGAATTAAAATATCATCGAATATAGTACTTTCAGGTGAGTTTGGATAAGCTCGAGAATCACTAATAGTTTCAATTGTGGAATAATTGACATCGTTTACTGAGCCCAATGGGCAAAATGATGCTGTCTGACACCAAGCACATTCAATAGCAGAATCACCTAGGTTTTTGCTTCCTGGTGGACAAACAAAACACGGCGCGACACCTGAACTGTTTTTAAATGTTCCTGCTGAACAGCGGACTGGTGAAAATACATTCACAATACCCAAAAGACTTATATTGCTGCCACTATAGTATCCGGGTGGACTAGATAGGATGATCAATATTTCACCGTCACTGGCCAATACAATCATATTTGATGACCAAGAACTGATCATAAGAAAACTTGGACTTACAGATACATAAGAAGTAGAAGCGAAAGATTGTTGATTGTTGGGAAAGGCAAATATGGGTGTGGTGAAAGAAGATTCAATATCCCACACATGTACAGTAGATGATGATCCCGGATATTCTGCAAGAGAGTATACAAGAATGGCTACTGTTGTATTATCAATCCAAGCTACGGATTTACCAAAACCTGTATTACTGTGATACCGATTTAAATTTCCAACAATAGTTAAACTGGTTGTGTTAGCAGACAGTACTACTACCGTATCTAATAATGATATACCAATCAGAACTTGATTCTGTTCATTAATATCTACAGACATGTCAGTCTGTGCGCTGTAAATTATCGCAGAAGGAATAGGAACTACTGCACTACTCATTAGTGTTACACAGCTCGTTAATGTAAAACTAAGTGCGAGAGGATAAAAATTGAGCAGACAAGCCGTAGGGGTATACTCAGCAATGCTGAGTGAAAAAGCATATGCCGCTATAACAGCAAAATTTTTAGTCATACCGAATGCTTTTGGAATAAAGAAAGGATAAGCAGAGAAGGGAGGAGGCAAGATTACATTCTGTGCGTGAACATTTATCGCATAAGTGTTTAAATTATAAACAAAAAAGAAATTAATGCCATAACCGTAAGCAAATAAGCCTAGTGGATCAACACCCACTATATAAAATTCTTGATGACCGTAAGAAAAAGTCTGAATATTTGAGTAATTATACGAACATAAGTTATTGCTTATATCAAAACTGATTACACCTACAGTCTGGTTTCCACTTAAAAGATCTTCTCCAATATGAACAAAATATTGCTGACTAGCATTTTGTTTTTTCCCGGCTGCTACACTATAGACATAATATGTTTGACTAAAAAAGGGAATACTGCAAAATTCAGAAACATCAGTATAGGGAGGAACTCCAGCTAGAAAAACTTTTCCTAAATTTTCAGTCATAATCATTTGGTTATCATTTATCACCAATTTCACACCATAGGCATCATAATCACTTAAAGTGGGACTAAACTGATCGGTTAAAAGTGGATGAAGAAAAATAATGAAGCAGGAAAAGTGCAACAACATGGCAACAAATAGAAGAAAACCGATCTGTAATTGTTGTTTCGATAGTCAGGTAGTACAGTGATAACAAATACAGTTCACTGATGCTTTGCACCGAAATTTTCTAAATTACTTGTTAATCATTAAATTTAATTAAAGCCCATGACTCGTTTCATAACAAAGCACGACAGGCGAATAGCAATGTGTAGAAACCGATGATTGTTTTCATGCAGATTTCTAAACATAGAGAAGACAGGGTTATTCTTCCAACATTTTTCCATTATAGGAGAAGTTAATCGATAAAACAACTTTCTGTGAGATACATTAATGATTTTCGCCTAATTTCACAATTCTCACGCTTCTACTTTGTCAAGTAAAACTAGAGCTATTTTGATCAGTCGAATGTTCTTCATGAGTAGTTCATAGCCCTAGTGAAACTGCATATTACATGAGATGAGATTTGTCACATACGCATGCGGGAAAATCTTTCACTAGAAACACGCCTTCTTAACCGAATGGAGCTGTGCCTAGCTATTGCAAAAAGAACGAGTTAGGTTTGAATCTTGTCTCTTGAAAGAATTGTAGTTATATTTCCTCCTAGCGATGGGCCGATCTTCGAATCCAGCGATATCATTGCACTATAGAAGTACGGTGGAAAGCGAAGAATAAAAGATAATTGGTTACTTCAATTCTTTTATTTTTCATATACTCAGAATAGCACTTTGAGAAACGCTGGCATTTGTACGGAGGTGTGTACTAGATTCAATCAACCTTCTTTATAATCAGAGTTGAACAAGGGAGAACTTACCATTCGTATCAGAAAAGAAAATGATCTATGGTTAATCCACCTAACAATGTAAGCTTTATTTATTTGCTCACTTTATGACCCGTCAGATCAGGACAATATTGTAAAGAGCATAACACAAAATGAATGCTCTATAGCAGAAGTGTTAAGTTGAACTTTTTATTTCATGTTAATGAAAATAAATGTACAACGCGTCTGTAGTATGCCGTAAATGTTAAAAAGAAAAATAGTAAACGACTAATACTAAAAATCAATTAAATATTTCTCTATCCTATATAAATATTTTTTTATCTGAACTAACAAATATTTTTGTTATTGTAAGATAGAAGAATATTAAAGTTCTGCCCCTAGGACACAAAAATATTAAATAGTTTTATTTATGTAGAAAATATTTACGAATGTGCAAAAATGCTGTACTTCGACCAAGTTAGCATAGTTAGTTTCACACAGCCCACTACGCTGTTTGCCATTAACACTTACTGAAGTGTCAACAAGAGGCTATTGCCACATTCCGCAGTGTCCTTAAGAAGCTAATGCCACGTTTTGAAAGTGTCAACTAGAAGCTACTTCCGAAGGAAGGAACTAATTCGCAGTTTGAACCTACCAGGAAGACACGAATATGCGGACGGGACAGGTTCTGTTCTAGTATTATGTCGTCATGAAATTAAAGGTATCTGCAAGTACAAGTGCTGTAGAAATATGTATTGGTAGCAGTTGCCGAGCAAGTATTGTAGCGCGAAGGTGTAACTCCTGCTGTATCTAAGAGATCGAGAAATTATTTTGTCTTCTTTTGCTATAAAGAGTATTTGCTCGGTGCTTGTTTAAGGATATAAAAACAATAAAAACTTGTAATAAATTCTAATTGTAGTCTCTATAAGACAAGGGGAGTATTTGCTCAGTAAGTACTGATTGGTGAGGAAGAACTTACTAAGTAAATAGTGCTGGGCTTTTCTTCGATGCAGACTGCAGCTATGAAAAGTTTTTGAAAAGTAATCTCAGTTTTATCTTTATAAGACAAGACGTCCTTACTCAGTAAGGACTTACTTAGTAAGAAACGACTGTTGTGCGTTTCTTCAATGCAGACTCAGAAGAAATCTACTTTCCTTACCTGAAGATAGAACTTGAAGAAGTGTCCTAACTAAGTAAGTCCTTACTGAGTAAGGATGATTTTTAGTATTAGTTGTTTAATATTTTTATTTTTAACATTAGTCTATAGACCCATACGAACAAGACTTCTTGGATTGCCTCGTCTAAAGCTCCCCAGACAATTTTGTAAACCCATCTAGTTTTTTTCTGAAGAAATAAAGCTGACTTGTTTATTTCATTAGAACCGTCACTAAATGAGCTTTAAAAGTACGGGTGGCTTTTTCTTTTATTTTTCTTTATTACTGAGAAAATTCATTTTTTCCAAATGACGGATGAAAAAATAAAAAAAACAAATTTCGGATGAAATTATTGAAATAAAAGAAAATATTGAACCGACTAATATTTAAATAAGGCGGAAAATGTTTAGTTGACTTTTAGTATTAGTCGTTTAATATTTTTCTTTTTAACATTAATCTATAGACCCGCGTCCGTAATGAATGATAAACCTGAAGCCATTGTAAAAATGAAAAGAATAGCAAGAAAAATGAAGAGAAAAAAATATGCTGTGTATCTGGACTAAACTTCATTAACCGATCACAAAAAGGAATTTCGTGAAGCAGTCAATAATTATTTCTTTTGTCTTGTTTTATAAAATGTGTTTTTACTTTTCCTATCGTTATTCCAGTAAGTGTGGGAAGGAAAGAAGAAAAACTCATGTTACTAGCTCTGATACAAGAGAAAAAAGCAAGAAAGGCCTTTGAAAGTCAAAAACCTGAAATTTCGTTTCTTTTTCATAAGCTCAGTGGAAGAATTACTTTATTACTAGAGTATTACTAGAGCCAAAGACCAAAGTGTACGAAAAAGGCTTTAAGTTTTGACAGTACGGAGAAAATGCAGCCCATATCCGATTAAAAATTATCTTGTAGAAAGTTTTTATAGTTGTCAATGAGTTTGCGATGTCTATCATTCACAAGCAAACATATCTAGTATGACTGATATCGACTATAACAGAGCAATTCCACCTAATACTTTGCTCTCGAATGCTCCTACTCTACATTTATTCACTATATTTATGCACGAAGTTGAACAGTGCTTAAGTAGAGTCAATCCGAAT